GCTATTGAGACAGAAGGGAGCCCCAAGAGTAGGGCAGTACTGGGGTGCCTCAAACCTTGCTTCTGCCGAGCTGCACGATGCAGCTGGTGACACAAACCTTAGGTGCCTCTGTGTCCCTGCCTGTCCAAGGGCACTAACAGCACCTGGAAGGTTCTGAAAGGATGGAACTAGCTCTTCTCTGCTCAGGAGTTGAGCCGGTACCAGCACTTGAGCCTCCATGCTGGGTCTGGCTCCTGGGCCCTCAAGTCAGCAGGGTCAACTTGGTGACCCCAGTTTCATCAGGCCTAAGCCTCCAGCATGCCAGGCCCTGGGCTGGGCAATGCTGGGCACATGGACGTGAACTCTGAGTCTGATGGGGTTGGGGGGCAGGTGTGGGTGGACCCCTCAGCTTGGTTTAAGTACTTGGTTCAAGTACTGGCCTGCCGGACCGGTTCACCACTGTCCGGACTCGCATCTCCCTGGGGACAAGCCAGCTCTGCAGAGAAGTTTCCTTCCCGGGAACAATGTCAGCTACGGGTCAGAGGACTGGCTTTCATCTCCAGCAGACACACTCCCCCTTCCTTTCCTAGCGAGAGCCTCCTCACTCTCCCTGTGGCCGTGGAGGCTGAAAGAGGGCGTCTGGGTCCCCAGGAGCCAGTCTGACCCCCGGGGCACGCTTCCTGGCGGTAACAGCCCCTGGCGTTTGCAGCGCAGTCGAATTGTGAAAGTTTCTCCTGAGCAGAGCCCGGGTGCGGACGAGCAGCCCCCGGAGCTGGACGGGCCATCGCGGCTCTCGCCCCTCCCAGCGGAGTGGCCGCTCTGCGCCTCCGTTTGTCCGATTGTTCAACAGGCCCTTGGCTGCCGCAGCGGAGAGAAAGAGACGCCCGCTCAGCACAGTGCTCAGGGAGAGCCCAGGAGGGGAGGCGGAGGGTCCCGGGTCACCCCGGGGCGGGGGGCGTGAGGAGAGAGCAGCTGTCAGAACCTCTCAGGTCGGCGCCTGATCTTTGCCCTCGGGGTGACTTTGACTTTGGGGAAGATGAGGCAGAGATGGGGGTGACGAGAGCACCCCCACACAGTGCGCACTCACGATCCCGGAGGCACTCGGTCCCGGCTCAGGGAGGTGGGACGGGGGCTCGGTCACCTTCACGGCGAAGTCGATCACGAGCGCGCGCAGCTCCGCCATCTTCCCGCGGCAGCCCCCGCGGGGTCCCGCGCTCGCTCGGACTCGGGCGGCCGGCGCCCCGCCCCCGCCCTTCTCTGCGCCTGCGCCCCCTCCGGCAGCCAGTCACTCGCGGCAGCGCCCGCCTCCCCCCGGCGGAGCACCAATCGGGCGGCCGGAGGGAGGCGTGGCAGGCGGATGCCGACCAATGAGGAGGGGTCTGGGGAGGGAGGCGGGACCCGGGCGGAAAGGGGGAGCGGCGACGGGGGGCGTGGCCGGGAGCTGGGGGAACGGTCCTGCAGGGGCGGGGCGCCCCGGAGCAGAGCTCTCCCCAGCCCGCCGTCCTAGCCTCTCGCCGAGCCCCGAATCCTCCCCTCCCTGCGGACTCCCACCTCTTCCTCGCCCCGCCAAGTCGCCCCGCCCGCGTCTGTCTCTCCATTCTGCCCCACGCGCCGGTACCCCAGCTCTGCCCCTGCGCCCCCCAAACCCGCGTCCTCCGTGGTGCCCCCTCCTCTTCCTGCGCCGCTGCCCGCCCGACCCCTCCAGACCGCGCCCCTGTCCACGCCAGTCTTTCCTCCTTCCCTGCCCCCCCAGCCCCGGCCGGCTCCGCCCCGAGCCTCGTCCCCGCCCGCGCCCCGCGCACGTGGACGCCCGGGCCCGCGCGGCCGGCCCGCCCCGCTCCCGCCCGGAAAGGCCCGGGGGCCGCGGCGGTGGGAGTCGTTCCCCTGTTGCGCCCCAGCCGGCTGCGGGCGCGGGCGCGGGGAGCCTGGGGCCGGCGTCGGGGCTCCCGGTCCTGGGGCCCCAGAGAGCGGACGCCCGGTGGGAGGCGGCGGTGCGCGCGGTGGGGCCCGGGGGAGGGCGGGCGGCCCGGGCCCGGGCGGGCTCCAAGGGCGCCTCTGCCTGGGGTGCGGGGTCAAGAGCGGGCGGCACGTGCTGTGGGTCCCTGGGAGGTCACCGGGGTGTCTGCGGCGCAGGAGGGGCCTTCCCCGGGCGTCTCCTCCCCCCTCTTCCCGCTGGCCAGGCTCCCCGCAAGAATAGAGATGGGTAATGCCCGCCACCCCGAAAAGCAGGACCCGGAGAAGACTTTGGATTCCACGCCTTCTGGGCGGTGTAACCCGGCAGGGCGGTCAGCAGCTGCAGGCCTGGGCCCACCTGGACAGTAGGCGGCATGCGGGCCCCGCCCCGGCCCCGCACCGCACCGCCCCCTTCCCAGCCGGGCCGGGCCATGCAGTGCAAGCAGCCCCTGCGAGCCCCGCCCCCGGCCCGGCGCCCGTCCCCGCCCACTGCCCTCAGTCGCCTGCGGGTCCCCCCCAGTCCCCACTGGAGTGTCAATTCGTGATCCCTGGACCCCTGCCTATCTCCGATCCCAGCCCCACCCTATGTCTGGTCCCCGCTGCCCTCTCTCCGCAGAGAAAGAAGACGATGCTCACAACCTGGGCCCGCGGGTTGCCCTTGTGGCTCAGAATCCGCAGGGCCACCACCGAGCCCAGGGTGCTGCAGCCCACAGAGAGCACATGCCCGCCCCCGCGACCAGCAGCATGGCTGGGGAGAGCGGCCCCTCCCACCGCCACAGGGCTGAGCTCACCCACCCGAAGTCAGGGGTTGGGTGGGGCCCTGGGGGCCATTAATGTCATGTGGGGGTGTGTGGTGGCCTCGGTCACCGAGGGGCAGCGGATCTGGGACTGGAATTGGAAAAGATGTAGGTGCCCAGCTGTGCGGGAGGGGCAGGGACCACCGGGGTCAGTGCGCGGTCCCTGTCTAGGGGGGCTGGAGCAGAAATCTTGGGGGTTGGGGCGGGTGGGCCCCACTCTGGCAGGGTAGGTTGGAGGCGACTCTGCTGTTACATTCCTGCCACAAGCCGCTGTGGCCCCTGTGGTGCTGGATCCAGTAGCTGGAGGCAGTGAAGAGAATGGTGACCATGTTGGCTAAGAAGCCCAGGATGGTGCCCCCCGCTCTGGAGGCTACGCTTCACCCAATGCCAGGGAGCCTGTCTTCAGGGCCACAGGGGCAGGGTTGGCCAAGGGCCTGCCCCAGCTTCTGGGAGCTTCTTCCCCAGGCTCCTCTCCCACCAGAGACCCCTTCCATGGTCACTCTGTATCCCAGATGCCACCCCAGCACCCAGGCCCCTACTCCTGGGAATCTGGAAAGTCTCCTCCCTCAGGGTTCCTCTCTCCTCTTCCGTAAGGCTTCCACTGGGGATGAGGCCTTGCTCCCCAGGAGTCCCCGCTTAGGCAGCTTCTTGTCTCCCAGAGACCTCCACCCACGGTGGGGTGACCCTTTGGTCTGCCCAGTGCTCCCCTCCCCAAAGCACACTCCCACCTAAGTGACTCACACCCCCCTCCCAGATCTCAGACAAGCGCCCAGGGAGGAGGGGGATGGGAGACTGGGTCTCTGTGAGTCTGCGGGGGTTCCAGAACCCTCTCCCTCAGCAGCCATTTACAGAGAAAACACCTTTCTCTCTTTCCCTCCTCTCTCTCTCATCCTGCAGGTGACAGCTCAGAGACACTCGGCAGGTCTGGGCCCTGACAGTCTAGACCTTGGTCGTCTGGAAACTGCTCTGCCCTGACCCCAAACTCTCCTGAGGTGGCTCAGCCCTCCCAGGCCCCTGCAGCTCCGCCCTCCTCCCTCCACCTCTCAGAGCCCATGTTCCTCCAGGCCCCTCCTGCTGCATGCAGTGCCTCTCCCCGAGAGCTCACCCCCAGCTCCAGCCCTGGTCAGCTGCCTCCCACACCCTCTGATCCTCAGCCCCCTCTCAGCTGAGCCTGGCAGCATCCCCCGCAGCAGGGATGGTTCACTGTCCCATGCTTGGCCTAGGGGCCCCAGATCTGCTGGCCTTACATGTGCCCCCTCCTGCTTGTCACCCCGAATTGCCCTTGGACCTCGGATTCTGGTTCCTTCCACACCCTGAATGTCCTGGTTCCCTCTCTCCTGTCCATCTAGTGCCTGGCCCCATGCAGGCCCCTCGCAGGCCCACCCTACTCGTGTGGGACTCACTGCGTCACCAAGTTCCTCCCTCACCTCCCAGCCTCCCGAGCATATCCCAGAGGGCACTTTCTGGTACCCCAAGTGGATGCTCCCCTCCCCGATAACATATCCTAGTTCCACAGCTACCTCAGGAGAGAATCAGTTGGGTGTTAGAGCCCGTCTCCCACCGCACTCTCTGTCCATCCTCACTACCCAACTGCACTGCTCCCCCAACATTCTGGCCACAGAGCTCTCCTCTGCCTCCCCTTAAACAGCTGGTCTTTCCACAGTTCTACCTTTGGGTGCCTCCATCTGATTACCATTTCTCGGCCCCAGACGTCCCAAAGCACCTCTCCCTGCACCCCCAGATGTGATCCGCCTTTCTTGGCACCCTCCTGCACTTTGTGCCCCTTCCAAACTCGGGGACCCTGGTGGGCAGGAAGAGGAGGGGTGTGCCTGACTCCTCTCTGGGGCCCCGAGTCCCTTGCCATGCAGCCGGCGAGTCCTGGCTTCTGTCACCACCCAATGAATCTCAGAATAACCACATTCAGCGAATTTTCCTTGACTGGGTGAAAAAAAACAATGAGGGTGGGGGGACAACAGGAGGGGCAGGAGACCTGGACTCGTCTTTTTTTTGGTTTAAGATTGATTTATTAATGCATGCAAGAACCGGGGTACATGGCAGAGGTGTGCAGGGGGAGAGGATTCACCGCAGACAGGGTGGGGAGCAGAACAGGCAGATGTAACTGAAATGCATTGGTGAGGGGAGCAGCGGGGAGGAGAGGTCTGCTGCGCCATGTGGATAGCTCTGGCCGGGGATGGAGCTCGAGCTGCAGTGGCTTCGGACAGCTTCATTGTGCTGCATCTCAAGCGCTTTTACCACCAGGATGCCCTGGACTCCTCTTGTGGCTGCTCCCAGGAGTGAGCGATGCCTTTGCTCACATCCTCTCGTAGGCAGGCTAGGGGCTCCTGCAGTGGGCGGCCAGGCTCAAGCCCCCTGGGTCACAGACACGGTCAGGGGCTGCCCTCCTCCCTCAGCCCCCGCCGGCCTCCCGCGCCCAGGGCGGTGCTCACCTGTAATGCCCAGGAAGGCAGCCGACGTCCAGCCCAGGTAGAAGGACCAGGAGAAGGAGGACTGGACCTGCGGCGAGGGGACCTGGCCATCCCGCTCGCTGGTGTAGACCGCCATGGCCACTGTGGCGCAGAGGGCTGGATCAGGACAGACAGGGCGTCAAGCCTGCTGCAGGGGCCGCCTGTCCCCACCTGGGCCAACCCACTTCTTACCTGCGGCAAAGCCCGTGATGCACGAGACGAGCAGCCCGCGGCCCGGGGCAGAAAAGGAGGGGATGCAGGACAGGACCAGGAACCCGACGGACACCAGCCCCAGCAGGGCCGACAAAATGGCAAAAGTCCGTGTCACATGGATGTAGCCTGCGCCAGACCAGACCTCTGAGCACTGGGGCCGCCTGGCCGGTCCCCTCCGTCCCCACAGGCACCCTCTTACCTTTCACTGGGTCCTCATGGTTCCTTGGCCAGAGGCCCGAGTGGCCTGAAAATCCAGGTCCAGTGGCCACGACCCAGACATCTGTGCTCACGGCCACCAGGATGAAGACGAGGCCCAGGCAGCCGGCCAGCACCGCCAGTGCCCGGCAGGGCTCCATGATGCGTCCGCTGAGGGGCTGTGCTCCGGCCTCCGCTGAGCTCCTGGAAGAGACCCCGGCAGGGATGAGTGGCTTTGACGGCAAGGAGGGTTTTCCTGCCTTTATACCCTGTCCTCAGTGTCAGGGAGAGCGTGAGCGTGTCATATTGCGGTTGAGGGGGGCGTTGTGTGTTCCGGCTATAACTCCAATTCCTGGATCTCCAACCACCACCTGAAACACAGTCATCCGAGGGCTTCCTGGAAGAGGTGAGAGAGACTTGGGCCCCCAGCGGTGAATGTGCGGACCTGTCAGTTTAATCAAAGGGGGATGTGGCCAGAGGGCACAGGTGGGGGCAATGCGTCATACTTTCCTGTGGTTCTGCAAACTTCCATTCGGAGCGACCGAGGTGGGGGCGGTCGGGGAACTCAAGGGTCTTCACAAAAAGAATGGGCTGGGGGCCATGGTGGGGCTGATGGAAGAAGACCTGGGACCGAGACACGAGGTCCCAATGGAGGAAGGGGTGGAGGGGAGCTCCCACTCCCAGGTCCCTGGTTGGAGCTGAGGGCCCTGGCGGGTGGAGAACCACCTCATGACCGCTTCTGAGCATGCTGACATCCTGCCAGTAAGTCTCTTCCTAGACAGCTCTTTTCCGGGTTGGGGGAGTTTGGGGTTTCTGGGGGAGACTCTCCAGGGTGAGAGGGGAGGTGGGTGCAGAACCCTCCAAGGCCAGCCACCCCATCCCAGCACGAGGCGCTGGCCACACCTCACCTGACAGCAGGTGTGTGTTTAGGTGCACGGCCAGGTGAGACATGGCACCTGGACTTCTAGGAAGCTGAACGTGACCCAGAAGTGAAGCTGTCGTGAAGGCTGAGTCTGCAGTCCCGGGACAGCTGGCCCCGGGGAGGCCAAAGCGCTGCTCGCCCAGGGCACGCCCTCCCCGGTGAGCTGACCGCCTCTGCTGCCCACACGCTCGCCAGGCCCACGGCAGCAGAGCCAGGCCGGGGCAAAAAAGGCTGGATCATAGGGTGGGTGAAACTGAACACTGATCTAGGGCTTTAGGGAGGGTGGGTCCCCTGATGAACTCGCAACCCCCAACGATGGCTCCAGTCTTAACAACAAGGTTTTCCACTCATCAGTCCCTGGGATGCAGAGTACATCAGTCAGCGCCTGCCCCCTCCCTTCCCGGTCTCCCCTGGTGACGTACACCCGTTACCCCAGGGCCATCGAGTGTCCTGCTCTTGGCTAAGGTGAAGGAAGCCTTGTACACCCAGTCATGGGGAGTTTCCTTTTGTTCTTTGCTCCATTTGCTACCTTGACTGTAAGCCCGTGCTCCCAGAGGCTGGACCTGCTGCGCCTTGATGCTGCCCAGGCGAGGGAGGCAGTGGCTCTGGTCGTGGGTGGGTGTGGGAGCCAGGCTGGAAGAGACGTCGAGTGCCTCCGCGAGCGCAGCGGCTCAGGCTGCTGTGGTGCTGTGAGCCGGGGATCCCGTCCCTGGCCCGCCTCTCAGCCTCTGCCAGCCTCAAACAGCTTGGGCAGCCCAGTGCCAGCCTCGCACTGCTGGGAGCTCGCCGGGCAAGAGAAGCAGCCTTGAGGCAGGGACTCGTCAGAGAGTAGTGCAGCAGCAGAGATGGGGAAGTGTAGAGCAGCGGAGATGGGCACTTAACTCCTCCGCCCGCACGGGCTGTCCCACCCCGGTGTTGCTCTCAATGCGTTCAGTGGCGGCTCTTTCTCCCCTGCCCACCAGGATTTGGCTCTTAGTGCGCGAGTTCGTCATCCTTTCTGGCGCGGGCCATGCTACTCATGCTGTCTGACAAGGTCCGGGCTTGAGGAAAGTTTCTGAAAATTCAGAAAACTCCACAGCTGGCTCCTGCTACTTCCTTTCATTGTTTGTGGCAGTTTTTGGAACCATGGAAATTTTCTATAAGCTTTAGAATAACACAATGAGTGTTGGCATTAAGGCCAGTAATACACACTTCAGTGGTTTGAGAAATGTACCTTCCAACACGATTGATAATGAAACGGTTTCCAGTAATTCTCCATGTCCTCCAATCTGTAGTTCAGTTGTCATGAGTAACACTGAGTTCTCTGCAAACCATGCTTGATAGAACTGATGGAACTTAGCCCGGTAAAATCCCCACTAGAGAAGGCCCTGAGGCACCCTGAGAGGCGAAATGGTCCGAGAGAAACACACCACGTATTGTTCCCAGGCACCAGGACCCCTTGGTTCTATACAGGGAATAGAAGGCCGCTCTCGATGCTACAATGCCTGCTTAGCCTTGTTGTGTGCAGCACCTGTTTCTACTTTCTGAATAACATACATCTCCTAGGGAAATAATGCCACCAAGTCAATGTAACCAAGTGAATCATAGACTGGGAAAATTAAAAGACTGTGCACTGGTTGATGACCAAAAATAATTCCTGAAACAATGTAAAAGTAAAGTCACATGATTGCATGATGTAATGATCAATTAACAATTTCTGATGTATAAATAAAGACCCGCTGAGACCCTCAGCGGGAGATGTCCGCACCCTGATGAAGTGTCAGTGTCTCCTCCCCACCTCATCTACCTCATCTCCCCCCCCCCATCACTCCACTTCGCCGACGTTGCCTCTTCCTTGCGGGGACCCTGCCCCAGTGGGACCTGGACTCCTGCAACTTTCATCTTTCGTGGTCGTCTTCTCCAGGTGCACTTGGGTGATGAGTATGTGGAGAGGGGCAGTCTGAGCTGTGTGCGGCCTTCTTGATGGACTTCCATTTTATACATATATATATATATGTATAAATGTTAAAGATTTATTTATGCAAACAAGAACTGGGGTACTGACAGAGGTGCGGGGTGTGAGAGGACTCCACAGAGAGAGTGGGGAGCAGAACCGGCAGACACTGCTGAGGGGAGCAGCGGGGGAGACAGGAGAGGTCTGACACACCGTGTGCGAATCTCACCGGCCTGCCAGGATGAAATCCGTCTGCAGAGGCTGCGGACGGCTTCACAGTGCGGCGCTCAACCACCTGCGCCACCAGGGAGGCCCAAGACAATCTTTCAGAAACTCTCCTGTACATGAAAAGGTGCATTTCTCTTGTTGCTGTCAAGATTTTATTTTTGTTTGAGGTTCTTGATAGTTTGATTTCATTGTGTGTCTGGGTTGCTGTGTTTCTCCTCATTCTACTTGGGATTTATTAAGCTTCATGCACTTGTCGTTTTCCTTATCAAGCAGAGGAAGATGACACAGTTGGTTCTCACGAGCTTTCCGCTCCCTTGTGCCTCTTCTCCCTTTATTAGGAGTGTCGGTTTGCTTGCTAGTGCCCGCGAGTCCCTCAGGCATTCTTCACCGCTTTTGGTTTTTTTTTTTTTTTTGCTTCTCTAACTAGATAATTTAATTGTGTCCTCAAGTTTTCTCCTTCTTTCTCCTGCTTGACTAAGTCTGTTATTGCCCATCTAATTAATCCGGTTGTGCTGCAGCCCAGGAGGCTGGTGCCTGCCTTCCCATCCTCCTTTAACAGATGGAGTAACTGAGGCACAGCGGGGCTCGGTGCCTCCCCCAAAGCCCCACAGCAAGGCAGTGGCAGGGCCTCAACTGGAAGGGTCGTGAGGATGGAGAAGAGACAACAGGGCCGAGAGAGCGAGAGGACAGGAGGGCCAGGCCAGAAGTGATGGGGGTGAGAGAGGAGCAGAGGCAGGGGTGAGGTCTGCCCCTGTAGGGTGTGTCTGCGCCTGTAGTGAGGAATCGGCAGTGTCGGAATCATGGATTTATTGAGAAAGGGACAGCAACAGACTTTACCGGATGATGCAGGCGCCCTCGGGCACTGTGGGAGGAAAGAGGGTGGGAGCAGACACAAGGGCTTTCCCACTTGCGCCCCTCACACATTCCCGGATTCCAGTCCTGTGCTGAGCAAGGCTGGACCCAGAGGGGAGCCAGTGGGGGAGACCGATAAGAAGCAGATCATCAGGTCAGGGGCCAGGGTAGGGGCAGAGGGAAGTTCCGGGGCTGTAGGAACCCAAAGGGACAGCCAGAGGTAGGTAGAATCCAGGAGAGTGAGGAGCCAGGACTCAGGAGGCAACACCCAGGTCACCAAGCCACGTGGCTATTGAGTGGAGACAGAAGGGAGCCCCGAGAGTCGAGCAGGACTGGGGTGGCCTCCAACCTTGCCTCTGCTGAGCTGCATGATGCAGCAGGTGACACAAACCTCACGGGCCTCCCTGTCCTGCCTGTCCAAGGGCACTAACAGCATCTGGAAGGTTCTGAAAGGATGGAACCAGGTCACCCACCCGAAGTCAGGGGGTTGGTTGGGAACCTGGGGGCCATTAATGTCACCCAAGTGGGGGTGTGTGGTGGCCTCGGTCACCGAGGGGCAGCTGGATCTGGCACTGGAATTGGAAATGACGTAGGTGCCCAGTTGTTGGGGGAGGGGTGGGGACACTGGTATCAGTGCGAGGTTGCCATCTCGGGGGGCTGGGGTGGGCGAGCCCCACTCTGGCAGGGTAGGTTGGAGGCGACTCCGCTGTTACATTCCTGCCACAGGTCGCTGTGGCCCCCGTGGTGCTGGATCCAGTAGCTGGAGGCAGTGGAGAGAATGGTGACCACGTTGGCTAAGAAGCCCAGGATGGTGCCCCCCGTTCTGGAGGCTCCACTTCACCCCATGCCAGGGAGCCTGTCTTCAGGGCCACAGGGGCAGGATAGGCCAAGGGCCTGCCCCAGCTTCTGGGAGCTTCTTCCCCAGGCCCCTCTCCTGCCAGAGACCCCTTCTACTGGTCACTCTGTATCGCAGATGCCACCCCAGCACCCAGGCCCCTACTTCTGGGAATCTGGAAAGTCTCCTCCCTCAGGGTTCCTCCCTCCCCCTCCCTAAGACTCCCACTGGGGATGAGGACTTGCTCCCCAGGAGTCCCCGCTTAAGAAGCTTCTTGTGTCCCAGAGACCTCCACCCCGGTGGGGTGACCCTTTGGTCTGTCCAGTGCCCCTCCCCCACACTCTCCCACCTAAGTGACTCACCCCCCCCTCCCAGATCTCAGACAGGACAC